TTCAGCTTGGGCGGCATCTAAACATCGAGGCGGGATATGTAGCCAAGCTGTTGCAAATGCCTTTGAATGGTTCCATAACCTATTTTAAGTGTCTCCGCAATCTCTCGCACCTTTAGCGTCCGGTCTTGCTCAACCAGTGCCTTGATATCATTCGAATCAACCTTGGTGGGCCGACCGCTGCGGGGTCCATCTTCAAGACTCGTATCTCCGGAACGAAATTTGGCAAACCATTTCTGAGCGGCACGTTCTGTTAAGGCATCGTCTCCGTATACGTCGCATATCTTTCGGTGGGCTTCCGCAGCTCGCTTGCCTTTCTTGAAGTAATAAAGTAAAATATGCCGAAAATGCATCTTATTCTCCGACATGTTCACAAGTCTGTAGCATAAACAAAACTAATGCCAATGAAACCAAATTTGACAGATGAAAAGAGCGGACTGTCACCTTTCCAAAACATATTTGGATTGCCCGATTAGGCAACCAGAACCGGAGATATTCGGAAAAAATTTGCACTACTAACAAAAACCGAATGAATATATGGATGCATTCAATATATTTCAAAGAAATAAATAAGATAATTATACAGCCCGGGAAGAAATGTTACATATAAATAATTGTATATAAAATATGTCATTTTTAAAATATATAATTATATATAATTATATTGGGTCATTTAAAAAGTATTCGCGGTTTTTTGTCACTAGATGTGTGTTGATGGTCATACATCTAGTGACAAAAAACCGCGAATACTTTTTAAATGACCCAATATAATTATATATAATTATATTGGGTCATTTAAAAAGTATTCGCGGTTTTTTGTCACTAGATATGTGTTGATGGTCATATATCTAGTGACAAAGTACAGCGGATACTTTTTAGATGACCCAATATATGAAACATTTTTTTTCCCGGAAGTTTAGCTACAACGGCTCAAAAATTAATAAAATTAGGCTTCTTCGACAAGATTTTGCACGACATGAATGAATCTGACAAAAAAAGTGTCTCTGCAAACCGAGATAATTGTTAAAATTAACAGACATTCAGATTAAGAAATCTATCACATCGATATATAGAGTTACACAAATTCTCTGTTTTAAAAACAAATTGTCTGCTCTAAAAATACAAATTTTCTGCTTCAAAAATAAATTATTTTCTATATATTATATTATAATTTTTGTTTTTACAGTAAGGAATTTATTCTCAGAGCAGAGAATGTGTCTTTTAAACAGAGAATTTATTTTTAAAGCAGAGAATTTGTGTAATTTGGAAGCAGAAAATACTTATTCTAAATCTGGTTGTTACATCTTTTGGTAAATTTTACTTGTTGGGTAAGTAGCAAGATGATTACCCAATCACATGCGCGGATTGCTAGATTTACCTAACAGGTAAAATTTACCAAATGGTGAAACAATCAGCCCCTAGCCTCACTTACATGGTCTCATATCCCTCTGCCATCGATGTGACGGATTTCCTAATATGAATAATTGTCAACTTTAACAATTAATATCTCGGACCATAGGGCAGAGTGACACTTTTTTGCCAGATTCGTTCACTTCGTGCAAAAATGTCATGATGGATGTTGTCGAATAAGGGTGCAGCCACAATAGAAGGAATAAGGAATAAAGATTTTAACCTATCAGATATCCGGACACAACGGAATACACTGTTTCTGATAGGTTGGAATCGTTATTACTTATTCCTTCTATTGTGGATGCATCTTAAGCCCAATTTTATCAACATCATAGGTGAGGAGACTAAACTTAATTACCCTAACCTCAATCCAGTTGTCATTGTTGTCAACTTTAATGCTTAATGTCTCGGTTCGCGGGATACAGCAATATTTATTTCTGTCAGATTCTTTCGTTTCATACAAAAACATGTCGAAAAAGTCTTATTGATTTTTTAAGTACAGTAGCAAAACTAAATGTACAATTACCATAAATAGTAATAAATATTTATGAACATTTATCATAAATATATATTCATAAATATTCTGTGCTGTCTAAGATCAGAGTTGTGAGGCAACTCAACTCAATAATTACTCTATCCGGTATCTAAATATTTTTAGTTGTAGTATTTTTGTTGTAGATTTATTCATTTAGTAAGGCGAAGAAATAATACATAAAATACATGCGCATACAAATACAAAGCATGTACATGTGTTGCTGCATCTACTAGTCAACAGGTTTTCTAATCAAAAAAGTCGTCAACTTTAATGTTAAATAATTCGTTTCGAGAAACAAATCGCCACGATTTTTGCCAGATTCTTTTGTTTTGAATAAAAACACATCGAATGAGTAAATTTTTATTAAGTTTTGCAGTAGCTTGTTCGTATTCTAATAATTACTCTGAATTTTTAGTTTATATTCATAATTAATCTAATTAAAAACACTCACTTGACTCACTGTATTAACTGAACTTTTAAAGGAGATTGTACAGTTTCACTTGCATTTGTGCAAAATACAGTTTTCCGATGTACACATGCGTATCACTTTTTCAGGCTGCGTTCGGAAACGTTACCCGGGTGCTCCTGTGTTATGATGGCTGCGTTCAGCAGAACACAACAGTTTTGCAACCGTTTTATGATTCTCTGCTGAGATTGGACCATTCCTCTTGATCTAAAGAAGTGACCGTAAGAGGTTTCTCTACTGTATCGGAACCACCGGAATCATGGCCGGAACGGTATAGAGATAATACGGAATTAACGGAATATCATGTCGATTGCAGGCTATATCGATTCGGCTATTGTTGATGGTTGAGAATTTGATAACTTCGAAGAAGAAAATTAATAATAATTCTTATTTTTCAATACAATATATTCTTGTTTTACATACACATAGTCCAACTATAATACCAGCAATTCTTTAAATAATTCCGATGTTATTCTGAAAAGTAATTGAAGAACTTCTCACAATCGATTTGCATTTCAAGGACTAAATTGTCACTTGTGCCACTTCATTCTTTGTGTAAACATTGACTATATCCAGAATTTTCGTTTTCTTGTATATTTCTGCTTACAATAAAACGTTATAAGCAAAATAAAATTTTCGCACACTCTTAAATATCGGAATAGCACGTCAACATTTCTTGCCTTTCGCAATAATTTTAACATTAGTAATAATACTACTTCTTCATTCATCGCTGTAAATTTATAAAAAAAATTTCTGAATATTCGTTTCAATTTTTAGATTCAACCAACTCAGCTGAACATGCTATTCCGTTCCGTAAAAATTTTCTCTACCCGTCCCATGTCGCCGAAACGCAATGGAATTTTAGTAACAAAATATATCTCACTCTTAATTCAGTATTTTTGAGTATTCAAAGTAATATTAAGCCGGTTCTACATTAGTTGCAAGCCGATCGCAAGTTTATTGCGACAGCCAATATGAAGCGTTGATTTCAAAATGCAAGCTTCAGATTATTATTATAGGTAAGATAATTGCACAAATTATGCATACTACTGCTTTAATCGCATTAAAATAACGAAATATCTGAAAAATTGACTGTGATTGATCAATTTTTAGCTTCTGACTTCTGATTTGTAACTAATGGCTTATTGTAGAAGGCCCATAAAAAAGAGATAGAAGTTACATTATACTTAGCTCATACTTAGCTTTTCATGCAGATATAATATAGACATACTATATTAGTGAATAATAGAATTATATTTTATGTGCATTATGATGTACTCATATTACAAAACATAAAATATATTTCTAATTCATATTCACGTACGTGTGTAGCTACTTCATGTCTTTTTGAAAATGGACGTGTAACAAAAAGGTGTACCGATCTTTTTTTTTCTACGTTAAAAAAATAAAAAAAGATATGTTTTTTTATGGTCAAATATACAGATAGTGATATATGCTTTTATATTTTCAATATCAGAATATACATACAACTAACATAAATTAAAGCTAACGAGAATCAAACGCAGATGATCAGACGTAACATCTTAAAAAGTTAATCAAATTATGAATTCTCTGATAAATTCTCATTTTATGTGTACAGATATACTCATTATATATATATATATATATATATATATATTAGGTGTTGGAATTAATTCGTAGCGTTTTACAAGTGATGGGAAGTACTTTCATTAATGTATTTTTTAATGCTCATGTGAAATAAATAACATTCTTTCATTAAAAACGCTACGAATTAATTCCAACACCTAATATATATATATATATATATGTTATTTTATATATATGCATCAATAATTTACTAAATAAAATGTATGTAAAAGACAGAACAGTGTAATTAAAATAATTATCTTCATTTGTATTCATATGTAAATAATATGGTATGTTTCTTGTTTAGGAAGAAATTATTTCAACAAAATTGAAATAACTAATATCATATTTATTTTATTATTATTTTTCCTCTCAAAAGAAAAAACTTTAATCAGGGCACGTTTATTGATATGGGCCTGAGTAGTATCGATAATTCAGATCATTTCTATGGTTCAGCGACGCACTTTTCATGACAGCGCCGCTATCGGAATATCGCGAAACTAAAATACTGCTTAATTTCACGTTAATTTCACTCGTAATATACAAACGAAATTTTCGGATACACCTTTCTCTTATACTAAAACTCTTACCGCGTTTCTAAAAGCATAGGATTGTTCGTTTAAGTTTTCCACAATTCGCCAGCTACTTTTTATGAACGTGCAAGATCTGAAACTCTTATATGCAACACATATTGTGATGTGTTGACTACAGAAGCCGATAACAAAACTGTAAGTCTTTAATTTCCTTCGTTTTTCGTATTCAAATGTAGCTAGCGAATTGTGTTGTTGTCGATACTTTAATTGTGGAGAAGGATTTTTCAATCCATGAACACAGTTACGAGAAAGGTGTTTTTAATATTTAATGATAAAACAGGACACTCCAGCATCCCCTTAAATATCGATTTATCATCTTCAGCCTTGAAAAGTGAACGTTGCTATGTAGTTTACATCACTTTGTCAGAGGGCAGTAGTGCGCAACATTTTGCTGTTACAGGTTTTAGGCCGTCATATCTTCTGTCAGGTTTCTCTCTGCTGGCTATAAGCCGTCGTTTTGCCATTTGAAGTTCGGAGAGGTCCAACTACAGCGAAAAGTAGTTAGCAGACGACGCAGACGTGTTTCGTCCATAGAATCGGATGTAGTTAACCTTCTTAGCTACTTTCCTAACCTTTTTAGCTACTATCGACAGCAATCTATTTCGCAATGTTACTGATAAAATACTATTTAAACGCATTTTGAAACTCATTCTTAATTATCAATTTTAAGGAATTAAATGTATTAAAAAAAACGATTTTATATCAACGATTATAAATCCAGCGGTTAGCAATTTGTCGCTCCATGAAAAAGTAGCAGGACTTTAGCGGCTGATGTTTTGTCGACGCTTCTTTAGAGAGGAAACGTACCATAAATAGGGGTAGTCGCTCAATTGTAGCCAGCGTTTTCACACTGCGTGAAATTGCACCTTAAAGAAGAACAATGAGGGGTTCCGTACAATAAAAAGAACAGAGAACAGAAAATAAGAATTTCAACTTATCAGAAATTATGTATTGTGAAATACATAGTTTCTGATAGGTTGAAATTCTTATTCTCTGTTTTCTGTTCCTTTTTGTGGAACCCCTCATTGAGCAGGATAGAAACATATTTCCTTTAGATGTTGTTCACAGCTCGACGTCCATATTTCTCTTCTATATTTACTATAAGTTCTATGGTGCTATCAAGTTGAGTCTCCTTATCTCTTACTTCGTGGCGGTGAATTGACAGTGACGGACTTTCAGTGAATTTAGCTTGGAGTTAAATAGATATTCCGAAATCTAAGATGAACGCTGTGAAAGACGAAGATGATTTTTGGAACAGCAGCGAGAGGCGGTCGTTCTGCTTTGAGAACGAAGTTATGATTGTAACGAATTGTAAATTGTGAATTCTCTGAGCGGCAAGTATTTGAGAATCAAATTGCAGGTGGATCAATTGAAGAGCGACACCCAGAAACTGTGGACCGGAATTTTTAATACATCAAATCTTGAAAATAGCCTTCAGTCTACTAATGATCTTCAAACTACAAAATCTCTTCTCTCAGTTATATCTGAAAAGACGCTTTCACGCAGTATGTCAAGAATATTTTTTAGAATTCTTCTAATGTCAATGACAAAGTGTTATTTGCGTTTTTGAGATGATTATTAACAAATATTCTTATTAGATATTTATTAACATTAAAAAATTATTTAGAAGCTAAAATTGCTTGTATAATTTAACAAGTAATATTACTATTCTGTGCATGAGTATATTTCAAGTCTGGAAAAACAATTCAGCGCATGGATTGTAGAATCAGAAATGTATATAAGTTCATACTAAATATAAATTAAAGCATTTAAAATCTGCTTTGATCAAAAATTGAAAATTGGAAATTCTTCATACTGAGTTAGTTATTCTGTCTTCAGTCCTATTTCAAATAGTTGTTGACAAAGTTTAAAATATTTTTGAGCATCTTGTAGTTTTAGACGCAGATAATAAATTCAAGAATAGCCATTCAAAAATAGGACATAAATATCTTGAAATTGATGTTGCGCAGCCAGACATCACCTTGAGAGAGATATTGCTCGGACAATCATATTCATTAGAACGATACAAGTCTCTCGCTAGCAAAACTGCTTTATTAGATGCTGCTATCTCAAATGGAGATGGAAATTCTATTTTAATAGTACGAATTTAAAATACTTATATAGCTAAAATAAATAATCTTGCAATAAATTAATTGTCAAGAAAAAAATTATGAATCTTGTTAATGCTCGGTTAACGTTGCAGATAATTTTATTTCTTATAAAAACTTTAAAACGATCATTAGTACAAAGATTATTAGTGGAGAGACCGGATGCAGTAAATGTATATATTTATTATCTGTTTATAAGGCTGCAAACAAGTGAAATAATTGATATTTTAACGTAAGTAATTTTTCTATAATATATTAGATACCGCGAAAAGTTCGTGTCGTTTTTTCCATAAACGTGTTAAAAAAAAACGACACAAGTTTTCCGCGGTACTAATACCTAATACAATTAATGATTTACTTCTCTTAATATTTGATATTTTACAGAATGTTAGATCATTCCTCAACTGCTGCTGTAAGTATTACTACAGATGTCATGCAATTTAAGTTGCAAATTTTATTTGCTGGTTGATTACAGATGAAGAATCTGCATATTATTATAAAAAACACAAAAGATCCAAATAGATTATGGCAAAAACTTCACAATTGTTACAAGGCACTGTTTACCATGTTACCTAATTGCAAAGAAACTATGTTTTTGGAATCTTATATTAAGTTGTTGGGTACGTTTATATTATCTCTCTTTTGCTATCATGAAAAAATTATATTATTTGTATCGTAAATTGTTAGAATGGCAATTGGCGATCAAACAAAAAAAGAGAGAGAATGATGAGGAACTTCCATTAAATTCTTCTATTCTGGAATCTCTATATTATGCATGTAAACATCATTGTAATACG